GGAAAATGAGAAGAACGGATTGTAAAACATGCGTCGTGGGTGGTACAATGTGAAATTTGGAGATTTGCTTGTTCCAACTAAAGAACCGAGATCTTCAATGATCGATTCGAGTATTACAAATGGAAAAAGAATTATCAAGAAGATTTCTCAAATTCTCAAATGGAATAATGGATTCTGAAAAATTCATGTTGAGATCGACATGTTGTTCCTGAAGAGCCGATGATGAACGATTTAGGTTTTCTCGAAATCTGAATTCAATCTTATTTTCAATTCGTGCTTTTCGTTTATTTTATTTTTGATTGTTTTGACTCGTTAGATCTAATTTGTTTCAACCCCATTAACGATCCAATAAATTTTTTAGAACAAGGCTAAAATCAAATCTCGTTACTGTTCATCAATTCGAAATCCATGCCTTGAGCCCAATTCGAACATGCTGCTGTTTCTTTTTAGCCCAACTACTTGTATCATGTACTGTTCTCGATCTTCTTCATTCCTTTCCTTAGTCGAAACTATTTTCTCGTCCATTATCATCGAAGTTCAATTTTCATATCATAAAATCGAAATGAGAAAAGAGAAGTGGGTTTGATTTAGAAATCAAAATCAAAATCGAAATTGATTTCAATTTGAACTTACTTGGGGTCGAACGTATTTGCTTGGGTTGTATTCGATTTTGGGATTGAAGACTGTAATCGAAAGTGGTGGTCATAGTATTCGAAAATCAAGTTCTTGGAAATTGAATGTATATGAGAATCGGTTTTGATTTGGATATTTCGATTATTAACAGTAGAAATTGGATATTTGTTTGGAGTCGATTGGAGTCAAAATCGAGTTCAACTACTGTTGATTGTTTGAGTTGAAAGCTCTTGAATTGAATCGAAACGGATCTTGATTATTGTTCGAGTTAAGCATCATAATTTCAATTGATAGGTGATGGTGATAGTCGTTCAACTCGAGTTTTGAAGTCTCGATTATATGGAGAATGCAATTTGAATTAGTTGCTTGGGGTCGAAATTGATATTGTATGGTATTGTGAACCAACGGGGAAGAAAACGATTTGATGTTTCATCAGGAATGTATTTTGGGAAGGTGATCGAAACGACTTCTCAAAAGTTGATTTATTTGGAATTGATACAATGGGAAGAAAGTTTGGTTGCTTGGAATCGAAAGTGTGTTGTTTCTAGTCAACATCGATTGCGACTGGTTTTGAATAGAATCGTGTCAAACTCAATTTTGACTAATGTTCCTGTGTTCGTTTCGCATCCAGAACCAAATTGGAGGAGAACGCAGTTCAAATCAGTTAGCTTGGAGTTGAAGTCGAATTCGACTGTTTGGTTGAAAGTCGCATAGTCGAAAGCGTAAATTGGTTCACATAGTCGAAGTGAGTGACTAGAGTCGAAATTGAGTTCGACTGAAGATTGCTTTGCTTGATTCGACTAAGTGATGTTGCTGTTCGAATCGAAATCGATTGGAGTACGTTCGAGTCAAAAGCAAACACTTGGAGTCGAATGCCTTAGGGACGAACGAGTTTATTGGAGTCGAATCGAATTGAAAGAAGAGTTGGGATCGAAAGAGAATTAATTTGGATTGAAATGAAAGTTAGGAGTTCGACTTGTATGGTGTTAAATTGGACTCGTTCGAGTCGAAATCATCTTCGACTGATGTTGTTGTACCTATTTTGAGTTGTTCAAGTCGATGAAGCGTTGAAAGCAAAAGTCGAATGCTCTTGCTTGGAGTCGAACTCGTATTAGACTAATGGTTGTTCGTGTACTGGAAAAGATTTGGGGAAGAACACTATTTTTGAATCAAGTCCTTAAACTTTCAGCAATTTGATAGATTTTGCCCTGTTTCGACTTGGGGGTAAAATTATGTGAAGTGGGAAAATATTTCGAATGTAGTCCCTGCAGTTAATGCAAATTGACACTTTATGCCCAATTTCGTATTTGGGGTAAAGTTTCGAATTTGAAGCTGATTTGGTGCAACGGGTCCCTACAGAATTTGCACAATTGACAGTTATTACCCAGTTTTCGAAATTCTTGCAACTCTCACCTAAAAGTCGAAATTTTCACAAAATTTGGAAAATTTTCTCGGCTTTTCGTGATTGTTTTTTGGTGATTTTCACGATTGCATTTTTGTCACACATCGAGGGGGAGTTTCGTCAAGTTTATTCCTCGAGCGCTTCTCATCTTTTATGGGTTTTATAATAATTTGTTGATTATAAAAGGGGGAGAATGTAGAAATGGGTATTCGAAGCTTCTTGGATATTCCTTTTCAAAGCAGATTTGAAGACCAGTGGTGTTACTTCGAGGGGGAGTTAGTCTTGATCGTGAGCTCGTTTGGAAATTAAAGCCAGGACATTCAATCCTAACTTTGAGGGGGAGAATGTTAGGGTGCAAAGTTCTCCTTGGATGTGACTTACCCTCTTGTGATATGTAATGGGTTGAGTCTTTCCTATAAATAGGAAGTGAGTGACTCCCATTAATGTAAGAACCATAATGGAACCCATTTGAGAAATTAGTTTAGTGAGAGAATTTACATTACCCACTCGTAATCTTGCTATTCTAGTGGAGCTTAAAATGATTTTATTTACTCTTTGTGTTCTTCATGTTTGAGTGATTCACTTGATCTTTACTATTCCGCACATGTCATCATAAATCGGGGCACTACACTTATAAGTTTATATATGTTGTTATTTATTATTTAGTTGGAAAATCTTCGTCCAATGCTCAATGACCCCGCATGTTGGCAGAAATTTATGTGTTTTTTTAATCGGGGAAACCACAAAGTAATGATCAAGGAGGAAACAAGGGGAATGAAGATAATCGGATAATTACTTTGTGTTTTGTATGTTAGACTTGTTGTGGCACTTTGATACTTGTTGGAATTATACCACTTTTTTGTTTATTTTGATATTTGTATATGGAATTATAACACTTTGGTACCTAATTCGATGTCTTTATGTAATTATTTTCTGCAATTAATGGTGTTACGTATCGTTTTTTTGCACTCGAAGAACATTGATTTAAAAAAAAGTATAAAAGTAATATTACCGGCGACATACACTATTACGAGCGGTGACATAAGGTATTATGGGCGACAGAGTTATTAACGGCGGTAAATATTTTTAGCGGCGATGTTTTAAGAAATAGCGACAGGGCAGTTCCGACGACGTGTCGCTGCTATTGTCTTTACTAGCGACAAATTGAACTTTTACCGGCGACTTTTGTCGCTGCTAATAACTCTTTCTTGTAGTGTATGTGTATTAAGCACATACAAATCATTAGAAAACAAATATGTTTCCTATTTTAAGTTCATACACGCCTATATCTATCGTCTTCAATACTACTTTAAGTTATTATAAAAAATTTCATAACGTCTTTACGTGTACTACACTGGTTTTAACCTAATTTTGGTTATATAGTTAGGTAGGTTTTTTGTTTGATGGACCCGGGTTGGCTTTGAGTGTGGCTCGGCGGAATGCATGGCTCTGACAGTTTGCACATGCTACAAAGTCGGAAATTGGTGAGCTTTTGGCTCTCAGAATTCGCACATTCTACAACGTCATATTCCTTAATTTCGATAGTGACTTTTTGTTGAGTGGTAGGTGTGTTATTGTAGAAATGGGACCTTTCCAATTGTGTTATGTCAATGTTACAAAATTTCCCCTTTTATTTATATAAAGATATACGCAATTAAAATTTTTTATTTTATATATTCAATATATTTTAGGACTACAAATGTTAAAGAGATTTTTGGATACACTTTGAAAATGCTAAAGTTGGAGGACACAACAAAAAATAAGGTTATTAGTGGTGACAGAAGTTGGTGTTATATTTCTAGTTTTTTCATGAACATACTACACATGTTACACATGTTTGTGTTATATTTTGTTTTAGTAGAGTTTTATTGGTGATTTATGTTTTTTTATGAACAATTATGTTTTTTGAGTAGATATGTTTGGATTTCAGTGTATTCCATTATTATTTATATTTATTTGAAATTTTGTCTCACTTCAAGCTAACGAGGATCTTGTAGGAAATCTACTTTGGTTTATAAAAAAACACACATTCATGTTTAGTTTATATTGTTAGTTATATGGATATATCTGACCATTGATGTGTTTAGTTACGTAAATTGTAACAAAAGCTGTGTTGATCCAATACTATTATGATTAATGGGCGTACGACACTGCATAAGGGTATCAATGTAATGATAACATACATTAAAGGCTAATACATTTATATATACAGTTACCTATTCATGGTCCAATATGAAATTGTTAAATAATTTTGGGACCGCTTAATAAATATACATATATTGTTTATCATTAAATTCAAAATTATTATGGTAAGAATATAAAATTATTGATGGATCGATTTTATTAGACACTTCTTTACCATTGTGAGTTGAGTTTTTAATTTTTTCAAAATCATATATATCCCTTCCATCTCTAACATTAGGATATGTATCCATCTATACATAAATATGACGCCTGAAAAGATTCATATACGAAAATACATTGATAAATTTGTAGGTCTTTTGCTAAGGGGTTATAGAGAGTTCTTAAAATGAACTAGAAATCAACCATGTAGAAATCACAATGAAAACAACTGTATAGTATAATATTGTTTATTTATTTTAATTAGATTTATGATCAAAATCTAAAATTTTAACTTCCACATTTTATGTTTTAGTTATTAATAAATAACTAACAATAAGAAGATAACAAATTTATCGCCTTTGGTTTGTAGGGTTTTTTTTAGTGCAATATGGTAATTTTGCGTTCATTTAATGGAAACCCATTCACGATAACAACCTCAAGGACCATTGGTGGAACTTTGGTAAACCATAGGGATGAGTCATGTAAAAAATTCAAAAATTAGATTGAAAGTGCAAATTAGTGTAAACCATAGGGACCAAACTACAGATTACTCTATATATAAATATCCCAACAAAGAAAAATAAAAACTCAACTTGATCAATCTTGCAGATTCAGTTAAACG